CCCCCCCCCAACGGCCGCCTCCGAGAGCGGTTGTTGCCCAACGGCCGCGGCGCCGCCGGCGCCCACCTGCCGCCCGCCGCCCCGTTATCTATTTATCTGTTAATTTATTTATCTAGTTATCTATCTATTTATATCTCCGTTTGTTTATTCTTGAGCCCCCCGCGTTCAGCTGGATCCTCCCGCAGGGGCTGTCCCCGCGGGGGATGGCAGGGGGCGGACCGGCGAGCCGCGGCGCCTCCCCCGGCCGCGCCGCCCCGCCGAGCCCCTCCGCTCCTTCCTTCCCGGGGGCCGGTCCTGGCGGCTCCGGCTGCTTGGGGAAGGGGAAGGGAAACAAAAAAGAAATGAAAAAAAAAAAGTCGTTGGCGTCGTGAGCCGCCGCGCAGCGGAGGGGAGCGCGGCTCTGCCGGCCCCGCTGCCGCCCTGCGCCAGGCGGTAGCCGAGGCKCCGGCCCGCCCGGCAGGGCGAACCCGCTCGCCTAGTTCGCGCTCCGGCGGGCTGCCTTTGACTTAGCCCTGTGGTATGTGGAAGCGCCGACTCCAATAAACCATTAACTCTTTCGCGTGCCGCCACGGGCCGCCCTCTGCCCCGGGAAGCATCCTGTGCCAGGCGGCTCGTGAGGGAAAGGCGGCGCCAGGGCGGGGAGGCGGGCAGGGGGACGCGCGGGGAATCGGCCCGGCTGCCGCCGAGCTTGCGGGGAAACTTGGCGGCCGCCGGCTGCCCCAGGGCGCTTGGAGCAGCGCGGCTCCCGGCGACACGCGGCTCTGCGGTGGAACGCGCGCCCCTTCCCGCCCCGCCGAGCGCACCTGCTCTGCGGCTCAGTCCCGCAGTCTCCAGAGCCACCTTGCCAACATTTGGCCTCCCGCAATCCGTTCAGCCGTGGAAAAAAAAAAAAAGGAAAAAAAAAAGGAGAGACTTCCCGCCGGTTGTCAAAAGCGGGGAGATGATTAAGACATCCGCGGGCGCGGGCGCGGGCTCGGCGGGCAAGGAAGGGGTTTCTGGCGAGCGCCGCAATGGGCGGCCCGGGGCAGGTGCCTCAGCACCTTCCCGCATGCACACTTCCCGGCCTTTTCCCGCATGGACCCCTCCCGTTTGACTGCGGGGCGGTTTGMCCGCTGCGTTGCCCCGTGTGCGGAGGGCCGAGCCCGTCCCGTGCGCGCCCTTTCCGGGAGCCCGCGGGCGGCGGCGGTCCCGGCGGTGCGGAGCTCGTCCCGCCGCGCGCGGCGTCCCGCGGGGCTCCTCGCCGGGACACCGGCCCCTCGCGCCGCGGGGAGCGCGGTCCGGAGCGGCCGCCCGCCCAACGCCCAGCAGAAGAGGAGCCTCGGCCCCGGGGCGGCTGTCTTGGGGAAAAAAGAGTGGGGAAAAAAAGAGTCGCCATTTGCAAACTCATGACTTCATCTAGGCATGTTTCTGATTACATTTAGTGCCGAAAAGAAAAAAAAAAAAGCGAAAAAGAGCAATAGAAATTTATTGGTCATAAATCATTCTATGCGTTTTCTTTCACAGACTGAACTTCTACACTGCTCTGTCCGGGCTTAGCCGTGTTTTTTCTAGTTACGAATGAAACCCTGTACTGCAGGTCTCGTCTCCCCAGCGCTTCTCGCCCACCTCACGCCGTGCGGGGCCACCGAGGCGGGAGCCCGCGACAACCTGTTGGCCGCGGCGCGGGCGGCGGGACCAGCCCGTCCCGCGCTCCCGGTGGCACCGAGCGCGGCCGCTCCGCATCCGCGGGATGTTGGTGAGAGCAGCGCCGGGCTGCGCTCTCCCTGCCCCTGAGCCGCCGGTTTGGACGCCTGCAAATTCAAGGACACGGTCCTTGGCACGGATGTATCGAATCGCAACGTGGCGGTGATGGAGGGAGAGCGGGAATGCTGCGCTCTGCTCCGCCGGGAGAAACCCGAGTGCTTCGAAAATCCCAAGCGCTGCCCCGGGGACTTGCAGTACCCACTCGCTTCCCGCGCGGGGTTTTTGCGGGGCTCTGAGGCTGCTTGCAGGGGCTTTGAGCAAGTGAATCCTCTCCGAGCAGTGCCCAGCTCCGCGAGTGCAAAGAAGGCGCATCTCCCCGCGCAGTCCCGCGCGCCGTTAGAGTCGGGCTCAGAGGGCGTTAGAGCCGAGCTCAGAGCGAGTTGCGAGCGAGCGAGCCCCGTTCCTCCTCATTCCTATTTGAATTTAGCAGTAAGAGGCCAGGCCGAGGCGATGCAAGCGCAGGGAGGACGCGCGCTCGGCGCGGCGCGGTGCGCGCTGCGGTGCGCGCTGCGGTGCGCGCTGCGGTGCGCGCTGCGGTGCGCGCTGCGGGCTGATCCCCCGGCCGCGCGTCCCCTTCCCGCGGCCACGGCGGCCGCGCGCCCCGCGCTCCCGGTCCCTTCGTCCCCCACGGACGCGCTCGGGTCTGACGGGGCCACCAGGTCACCTGCAGGCACCCGAGGGAGGACGTTTCAGCCCGGCACCTCCTCACTACGCACAGGTCCCTCGGTTCACTCATTTGCTTGGGAAAGAGGGCTTCCAAGTGCTMTTATTATTATTATTATTATTCAATAAAGTCCACTTATTATTAGAGCAGCTGGTATCCCAAGCGCTAGTGAAGTGACTGGCAAGGATTCTATCGTAAAACGCTGGTTTCTAAGTTTACAGTTTCTAATTTGGCCGTGAAAGTGTGATTCTGGATGGAACTTGGCACACGAACGCTCAGCTGGAGAGTAAACTTTTTATTAGAAAACCATTGGTTTATGGGGATTGCTATTTTAAGTTAAAAGAGAATTAACAAAGTTTTTACTAGTTTTGGAAGCTTGGAAAGGTCCTATAACTTTTCAAGAAATTAAATGCAACGATTTTGGTAAGGCTACACTCTGCGCCCCCTCGTTTTTCTTTCTTTCTTTCTTTCTTTCTTTCTTTCTTTCTTTCTTTCTTTCTTTCTTTCTTTCTTTCTTTCTTTCTTTCTTTCTTTCTTTCTTTCTTTCT